GTTTGCGGTACACCTTCTAAGTTTCAATGATGATAGTTTGTTTTGCCTTCCGCGTCAGTGGTGCTAAATTGCATTTCTAAGCGTGCAAGGTTTCTTTAATGAAGAGACGCAATATAACTCGCTAGTCTCTCCTCATCTGCATCCAATCAAACTGAAAGAAAACGGAAATGTTATACTTTCGGCATAGTTCTATTTGTTTTTTCAATGAAATGGAGTTGATTTCAAGTTAGAGATGGCTTAGCATCAGGTCAAACTTCACACAAAGCAAATGTTTATTCGGAAAGTGGAGAAGCGACGTTTGAGAATGATCGGTACCGAGCGCATAAGTTGCATTTTTGAAATCAAGAAGTTAAGATTTTTTGGGCAAAAATAGCCATGGCAATCATTCGAATTATACATCTTGAATAAGCTACATATTAATGTGCTTGTGATTCTAGTGATATTGTCTGCCAGCGAATCAAAACCAGATCAAAATCCTTGAACTTCGCAATTTCTTTTCAGAAAAAGGATATCTGAACAATTATTTTGCTGCGGTCTTCTATCCCATAGTCATCTATGTGCACTTGGCTTGCCCTGCGGCTTACACCCTATTCGCGAAGGTAACTGCAGTTTTTGTTTCTTGCAAATGCGTGGGTACAGGTTGAAATGAATTCTTCCCAAAAGAGATAAATATATTTTTTAGGATGGAAATCCATTAAGTGCAGTACTCGCACTTGCTGTTATTGTAATTGAATCGCTCAAGATTGTCTCATATGTGCATGTGAATTATTGGTGCAGATGCGCGCGAGAGGAAAAATCAGCAGCTAAGAAGAATGATGTGGCCATAAACGAGGTGGGAAACCAGATAGGCGGCTTGAGGGCGGGGCCTCGATCGATTAGAGAGCACATACGTGGGGGAGACGCAGAGCCCACGTTTTCCACGCTTACGTGCTCTCTAATTGATCGAAGGCCCGCCCTCCAGCGGCCTATCTTTTTGAATCACAGGGTATTCCCGTAATTACAATTTTTGATTTAGTTGGGAGGACCCGAAATGGCATCACTCTATCCAAGCACATTGACGCTGAGCAATCTCTACTACTTCATGTTTGCACCCACACTTTGTTATGAGCTCAAGTTTCCCAAATCTCGTCGACGTCGGAAGTCTTTCCTTATCAAGAGATTCGTAGAGGTGAATTGCGTTTGTATAACCCCGTATGTAATCTCATGAATTATGGTTTCAGTTTGTTTTTCTGAGCTTTCTGATTGCTTCTCTTATACAACAATGGATGGTACCTACTGTACATAACACAATGAAACCTCTGAGCGAAATGGAGTATAGCCGGTTAGTCGCTCGCATCCACAATGTGACATACCATTTTTCGTGTTTATTTACGTATCTCATGGGTACTCTTGATTCAAAATATTACCAGAAATCAAGCCTTTTCTCAATTGAATTTGTAGATGCCTTGAGCGATTGCTAAAGCTCGCCATACCCAATATGATCATTTGGCTGATCGGTTTTTATACCCTCTTCCATTCCTTGCTCAATTTTATCGCGGAAGTGCTCATGTTTGCTGACAGAGAATTTTATCGGTGAGTGCAGTACGAATAATCACTTATTTCGGCTCAAAATTTGTTCTTTCCAGCGATTTCTGGAATTCCGAAACTATCCAGTATTTCTGGCGCACATGGAACATACCAGTACACCGTTGGGCAGCTCGTCATGTGTACATGCCAATGATGCGCAGTAATTATCAGTCAGTACTCACAACAGTAGCTCCATCTTTCTTCAGTTTTTCTCATAATTCACCTATTTTCAGTAAG